CCCAAAGCGATTGGGACAGCCTGCTGATAACACAAATAAGGTGCATGCAACCCTTTGGGCAGCAATGTAGAGGGACTCCTGATGAGGGAATTGGTCAGTTTTATCATCCCACTAAAGCTTAACAGGAGAGCCAATCTCAGAGCAGAGAGGGGTCCTCATTACCATCGAGAAAGAAGAGCCAGGAGTGGGGGATCCCACTCAGACCCTGAGACAGGCCGAGCTAGAACCCCGGAGAAGACCTGAGACGGCAAGAAGCTGCAGCAGGGACAGTAGGAGAGTGTTGGGATGAAGGAGGTGCAGTGGGCAGGCCAATCCGTGGAGCAGGAGAACTGAGTGGCTCCACAGGGGAGATTTCCTGGAGGAGTGGGGTGCCTCCGGGGACTTATTGGTGGAACTAAAGAACTTTGTAACACTTGCCTGAGCAGGGCAGAAGCCAGTCCAAAAGAGCTTCTCCCAAGGGCACAGAGAGGATCTTGTCTTCTGAGGGGTGAGTGCCAGGGCCCAGGACCAAGCAGGGACCTGGAAGCAGAGGCCTGCCTGGAGCCATGGCTGGAGGAGCCGCTGTGCGGCCTGAAGAGCCGTATCTTGAATAGAACCTGTGACCTCCCTAATAAACTCCGTGACTGAGGACGGTCTGTGGCCATTGCAGCAAATTGTCAAGGCCAGCAGAGAAACCCTCACAAGTACGGTGGGAGGCAGGGGCAGGGGATGTTGGATTTGGTCAGAGAAAGGTCAGAGGGCGCAGGTCGATCTGGGCTTGGGCTCATAGGCGTCAACCTTGGGCTAATGTTGATATTGAGCCTCCTCCCCACTTCTGAGGTCAAGTGAGGTCAGATACCACACCATCATGCTTACAGCGGTTTGTGCAGGAGAGACCGGAAGATGCTTGATTCTTGAATTGTAAGATACTAGTTGATTGACTTAGCAACTTGCAGCTGACCAAGGATGGTTTCCTGTCTTTCCCTCAGAGTGGTGTGTGTGTGTGTGTGTGTGTGTGTGTGATGAATTTCAGTTTATGGCCAATAAAGGCCCCTTCAGGTTGACCCGTGTTCCTATTTCCATGACTTCTAGTACCCTCTGATGACTTCCTTGCGCCTGGTACGGGGGCCTTTCAGGACGAGGGAATCAGCCAGCTCTTCACTGAGTTCTGGGCCCTTTTAGTGGAGAATGACACTTAGGGATCATAGTCTGAGCACTGGAGGGCGGCAGTACTCATTACTATTAGGTTGTGGTTGCTACTAGACTTTCTGAGTGAACAAAGATCGATTTCCATATAGATGTGGAAATTACAACTCAGCCCCTGGTGAGTTCCAACCACTAACTATTCCAACAGCACACTTAACCCCTGTGCCACCAGGACCCCTTTTCATTAGCAATCATACACACATGGAAATACTTACAGTTAATACTTACAGTTCAAAGTGAAGATTAAAGTTTAAAAGGTTTATTTTTAATGTCTTTCATTTTATATTCGCATTTATTTTTTTCTTGTGCTGAAAATATTGCATCCTAGTGCCATTTACATAATTTCTCATTTGCTTTACCCTGAATATATAAGCATTTGGCTATGGTTTAGTCTGGGTAGACTAGAGAAACAAATCCAGAGACACTCATATGGGTGTAAGAAAGATTTTTTATCTCAAAGAGCAATTGTAGATTGAGAAAACATCCCAGCCCAGTCCAGATCAAGTCCACAAGTCCAATATTAGCCCATCTAGCCAATACGAGTCCATAAATTCCTCTTCAGACTCACGCAGCACATGCAATGATGTCGAGGGCAGGGTGATCATAGGCCAGTGCGTGAAAAGTCTTGTGGATCCAGTGGCAGTGGAAGCATCTCAGTGAAGGTGAAGCAGAGGGAGAGTGTCCCCCTCCAGGGAGGAAGAGAGGCTGTGACCTAGAATCCGCGTGATTAGGCTACACTCACAAGGAGACCTCTGCAGGCTGTGACCTGACTGACAGGCTAGACTCCACCCCTTCATTCTTTTTTGAAGTTGGCATGACATCGTGTAACTACCACAGGCTACTGACCTACAGGTTGGTGGTTCAAATCCACTCAGTAGTGCCATAGAATTAAGGTCCGGCATTCTACTTTCATAGCATTATAGCCACTGATGATTCCATGGAGAACAGTTCTACTGTGAAATAAAGAAGGGTTATAATACATTGAAATTAACTCAATGGCAATGAGTTTGGTTTGGGTTGGGTATAGATATAAATTTTTCAAAATAAGTTACATAACTTTTCAGCAATGAAAAGTTTGAAAGGGAAATTATTCCATTTATAATAGCATCTGAAAGAATAAAATACTTAGGAATCCTTTTAACTGGGGATGTGAAGGACTTTATGCAATAGGAATTCTGAAACGCTGCTGAAAGAGGTTTAAGAAGACGTAGAAATGCAAAGATGTTCTGTGTTCACAGATTGGAAGACGTACTATTGTGCAGATGTCAATACTACCCAAAGTGATCTGCAGCTTTAATGCATTAATTAAAATTCCAACAGCCTTCTGTACAGAAATGGAAAAACCAATCCTCAACTTCAAATGGAACGGTGAGAGGCCCCCACAGCCAGAGCACTGTTTAAAGAAAAGGACAAAGTGTGAAGATGCTCACTTCCTGGTTTTGAGATACATTGTACAGCGACAGCCTTCAGAACAGCTTAGAACTGGTAGAACTATAGACACACGGGCCCATGGGATGGAATTGAGAGCCCAGAAGTAAACGCACACATCTGTGGCCAGCTGGTTTTTGCCAGGGGTGCTAAGTCTATTTGGTGGGGGAAAGAAGAGTCTCTTTAATAAATAAGCCAAAAAACACGTTGCCACTGAGGCAATTCTGACTCCTAACTGCCCCTCAGGGGTTCCAGAGTGTAATCCTCATGGAGACAGGCCGCCATGCCGTTCTCCCGTGGAGCCCCTGCTGAGTTCCAATTGCTGACTTTCGGGTGAGCACCCAGCACTTAACCGCTGTGCCACCAGCACCCCCTCTCCTCAGGGCAATCAGAGAAATGCAGGTCATTTCACTGCCCCAGGACGGCCAAGCTAAAAATCAAGCAATCAACTAACACCTTTTGGCAAGGAAATTTTGAGGGGAAATAGGAATCCTTAGCCCTTGCCAATGGGAAGGCACAATGGCATGTCTGTTGTAGAAACCAGCGAGACGGTTCTTATACACCTAAACCTGGAACTCCCACGGTGACCAGCAATCCCACGCTGAGCTATGCAGCTAAGACCTGAAGGCAGAGACTCACACGGAGTCCTTTGCACCCATGTTCACCGTCTAACGGGGACAGCAACCTCAAGCCCCACCAAGGGACACGAGGATCACAACCATGGGGCACAGCTCCACAACCTGTAAGAGATATCAAGACTTGAAACATCTGGGTGGCACTTGAAGACGTGATGCTGTGAAGGAAGCCCACCACGAAAGGGCAGACCGTGTAGGATCTTGCCATTTAGACGAAACAGACAGAGCCAGACCAGTGTAGAGAGTCAAACGTGGGATTCGTGACTGGGGACGGGCTTGCGATGAGTCAGAATTGACTGGATCGCAGTGAATTTGGCTTGTTTGGCTTTTTTTCTGAGTGCCAGGAAGGAGTTGGAGTGGGTGGTTGTTCATGGAGTGCTGAGTCTGGGTTTATGATGATAGAACCAGGCAGGGCTGCCAGGCTGCTGAGTGTCCTTGTTACCAGCAAGTTCTACATCTGTAAAAAGTTGAATCGCCACGAGTTGGGTGGCCGATATATTTATAAAAGAGGAGCTGCTGAGGTTAATTCTAAATAACTAAAAACCACATGAGATTTGACTTCTTGGTTTAGAGCTGCGGTTCTCAACCTTTGGGGGTCGAACGACCCTTTCCCAGGGGTCGCCCGATTCATAACTGTAGCAAAATGACAGTGATGAAGCAGCAACAAAAATAATTTTATGGTTGGGGGGTCACCACAACATGAGGAACTGTATTGAAGGGTCACGGCATTAGGAAGGTTGAGAACCACTGGTTTAGAGGTTTTTATGTCTCAAATAAGAATATTAGTATTATTAACAATGATATCAGTAACGATGTACCACTCATATCTTCAATAAACACCATTGAGTGCAATGTTAGATTTCTTTATGCGCTTTTTCTTCTCAGGCGCTATTATACTCGGAACATTCTGCCCAGATCTCTGTTAAAGTCACTTAAGATAATTCTCTGTGTGGTTAGGGTCACCTGGGAGGAAACCGTGAAAAATCCACAGTTCGGCCAGCCTTGCAGCTGAGTGGGTCTGATGGTTAGGACTGCCTCCTCACTGTCTTGGGACTTGAATAAGGTTGTTAGTCGCCATCCATAGGGCTCCAAATCCTGTCAACCCCACATCCAACCGAAAGAAACGCTGCCTGGCCCTGTACCGTCTTCAGAATCGTTGGGATGATCAAGCCCATGGCTGTGGCAAGGATGTATTTTCAGTGCCTTCCCACCTAGAAGGCTTATCTGTGTCAGACAGGATCCTGGGGGTGATGTACAGGCTGCTCACCGGCTCCTTTTCAGAGGTAGATTGCCAGGCCTTGCTTCCTCGTCAGCCTTAGTTTGGAAGCATCGCTGAAACCTGTTCACCGTGCTAGTATTTGCACGACTGCCAGAATCATAGCAACAAGAAAGCCATCACAGTACCACACACTGAAAAGCGTACCCACTGTCACGCGCTGCCAGGGGGCAGGGCATATACAATACTGAACATCTAAGTGCCCATGGAACTGCAGGCTCCTTGGCAGAGCTTGGCCACAAGATTAGCCCCAGCCCCAGCCCTTGCAGGTGCGAAAGAGAACGCTTGCTGACTGACTCGGGAGGGTGCTGCCCTCTGCTCCTTGCCCAGCTTTGGTAGGCTGGGCAAGGATCTTCCCAGCCCTGGGAGGTTTGTTCCACAGCCCCCTCCTTCCTCATACACAGTTAGGTAAGAACCAGATGCTGGGTAAGGTTGGCTTTTCCAAGTCCTCAAACCCTGTCTGGACTTCCCTCTAGGCCTTCGACCCCCTTCTTTGATCTGCTGCAGCACCGGTATCAGCAGCTGTGGGTGCAGGAACAGAAGGCCACCCAGACAGCCATTAAGTTGGAGAAAAAGCACAAGGTAAGCACAATGCTCACTGCTAGGTGCAAACTGTCAGAAGAGGAGGGAAGTGTGGCTCAGGCGTGGCTCAGGCAAAGCTCTGCTTGGCATGTGCAGATGTTTGGCCCTGGGGGTGGGGGGAGAGGCGCCACGTTTCTTCTTGTTCTGCTAACCAGGTGTCAGAGAACCTTAAAGCCGCAAACGATCTTGGTGATTATTAGACGCAGGTCCCCAGTTTAAGCCCAGAGTGTGTAAGGGGCCGGCCGGCCAGGTTCCTCCAGCAAGTCGGCCCCCAGAGCCTCCAAGGCAGAATTAGAATCCAGCTCTCCTGGTTCCTGTCCAAGGCCTCTTTCCATCAAATCTCTTCATGGTTTCAAGCCAGGCAAACCCACTGCCATCCATTAGGTCCCGCCTCCTAGTGACTCTCTCAGGAGCACTGGTAGTGGCGTCGTTACACGTGGGGCTGAGATCTGCAAGGTCAGCAGTTCGAACCCCCAGCCCCTCGGAGAAAGACTGGGCTTTCGACCTCTGGAAAGAGTTACAGTCTTGGAAACTCACAGGGGGGAGGTCTACCTTGTCTTACAGGGTCACTGTGAGTCAGCATCGACTCCCCGGCAGTGAGGTTGAGTTTCAGTTTTTTGGAGTGACTTTATCAAAGGTTTCCGAGACTGTGAGCCATTATTGGAGCAGAGAGCCTCATCGTCTCCCTGCGAGCAGCTGATGGGTCTGGACTTCCACGGGTAGTTAGCAGTCCAGCACCTGACCCGTGGTCTAGATGGAAATCTGCCCAGTTTCATCTATAAAAATAAGTAAATAAGGGAAAGCTAAAGGTGGAAACCCACTTCTAGGAGATTGTTTGTTTTTTTTTTTCCCCCCAGGGTGATTTTTTGCTTTATTTATTTATTATTTATTTATTTTTCCCCCAGTGTTGCTTTTCTCTCTCTCTCTTTTTTAAAACATTTTATTAGGGGCTCATACAACTGTTATCGCAATCCATACACACATCTATTGTGTAAAGCGCATTTGTACATCATTCTCAAAACATTTTCTCTCCACTTGAACCCCCGACATTAGGTCCTCATTTTTCCCCTCCCTCCCCGCTCCCTCCTCCCTCATGAGCCCTTGATAGTTTATAAATTGGTATTTTGTCATATCTTGCCCTGTCCGACGTCTCCCTTCACCCACTTTTCGGTTGTCTGTCCCCCAGGGAGGAGGTCACACACAGTTCCTTGTAATCGGTTCCCTCTTTCCTACCCATTCTCCCTCTACCCTCCCTGTTTCGCCGCTCACACCACTGATCCTATAGGGCTCATCTGCCCTGGATTCCCTGTATTTTCAGTTCCTATCTGTACCAGTGTACCTCCTCTGGTCTAGCCAGACTTGCAAGGTTAAATTCGAGTTCGAGTCATGGTAGTGGGAGCGGGGAGGAAACATTTAGGAACTAGAGGAAAGTTGTATTTCTCATCGTTGTTACATCGCACCCTGACTGGCTCATCTCCTCCCAGAGATCCCTCTAGGAGATTGTTTTAAAGGACACGTTCTATGTCACAATCTAGGAGCATGTTCTGTGCAAAGGGACATGCAGGCGCCATGCAACCTCACGTGGGTCAGAGTAAACTCGGGGTCCCTAGAGCTTCCTTTCCACTTTTTCAGTATAATCATAGGAGCATTTACTTGTTGAGGAGAACAGACAGAAACATACACACCAATTCAATAGTTGCTGTTGTCAGGGGCCTCGAGTTGGTTCCAACTGGTAGCATCCCTGTGTGCAACAGAAGAACGCCACCCCGGTCCTGCTCCATCCCCACAACTGTTGTTCGGCTCCAGCTCATTGCTGCAGCCACTGCGTCCGCCCATCTCATCAAGACTCGCCTCGGCTGCTCTGCCCATCTGCTTTTCCAAGTATGACGTCCTTTCCCAAGGGCTGGTCTCTCCCGAGCACTTGTCTGAAATATGTGAAACAAATTCCCGCCACCCTCGCTCATAAGGAGCCTTCCGGCTGCACATCCTCCAAGACAGACTTGTTTCTTGGTTGGTGTTTTCCGGCAGCCCATCGTACTGCATCAACACCACCATCCTAATGCACGGTGCTTCTTTGGTCATCCTTATCCATGTCCAACTTTCACACACATATGAGGCTATCGAAATTACCATGGCTTGGGTCAGGAGTACTTTAGTCCTCAAAGTAACATCCTTGCTTTTCAACGTTTTAAAGAAGTCTAAGCAAAAGTGGTGAAGAAAACCGATGGTGCCCGGCTATCAAAAGATATAACGTCTGGGGTCTTAAAGACTTGAAGGTAAACAAGCAGCCATCTACCCTGTTTCCCTGAAAATAAGACAGTGTCTTATATTAATTTTTGCTTCCAAAGATGCACTAGGTCTTATTTTCCCATGAAGAAGAATACAGTACACCTTTATTGTTTATTGTTTTATTAAATGAGACCTCACACTTCCTGTCTGCTCTGGCTGTGCTGTGGCCAACAGTGATCTGGGCGGCGGCACCCACCACAATGGTCCAGAGTCTAGAGTTATGGTAGCTTGGGGGGGGCCTTATTTTTGGGGAGGTCTTATTTTCAGGGGGTGCCTTATATTTCAGCGAGAGGCAAAACTGTAAGTAGGCCTTATTTTCGGGGGATGTCTTACTTTCGTGGAGACCGGGTAGCTCAGAAGCAACAAAGCCCACATGGAAGAAGCACACCAGCCTGTGTGATCGCAAGATGTTGAAGGGATGAGGGATCAGGCATCAAAGAACAAAAAAATCATTATCATTGTGAATGAGGGGGAATGTGGAGTGGGGACCTAAAGCCCATCTGTAGGCAACTGGACATCCCTTATGGAAGGATCATGGGGAGGAGATGAACCAGTCGGGGTGCAGTGTAGCAACAATGAAACATACAACTTTCCTCTAGTTTCTAAATGCTTCCTTCTCCCCTCCCCCGACTATTATGATCCCAATTCTACCTTACAAATCTGGCTAGACCAGAGGATGTACATTGGTACAGATAGGAACTGGAAACACAGGGAATCCAGGATGGATGACCCCTTCAGGACCTGTGGTGAGAGTGGTGATACCGGGAGGGTGGAGGGAGGGTGGGGTAGAAATGGGGAACCAATTACAGGGATCTACATATAACCTCCTCCCTGGGGGACGGACAACAGAAAAGTGGGTGAAGGGAGACATGGGACAGTGCAAGATATGACAAAATAAAAATTACAAATTATCAAGGGTTCATGAGGGAGGGGGGAGCGGGGGAAGGAGGGGAAAAATGAGGAGCTGATGCCAGGGGCTTAGGTGGAGAGCAAATGTTTTGAGAGTGATGAGGGCAATGAATGTACAAATGTGCTTTACACAATTGATATGTGTATGGATTGTGATAAGAGTTGTATGAGCCCCCAATAAAACAATTTAAAAAGAGTCTTGTGCAGCAGATTTACCCAGTGCAATTCATCATTGATCTCTCGACTGCTACTTCCATGAGCGTTGAGTGCAGAGCCAAGATAGAGGAAACCCTGACAACTTCTGTCTTTTCTCCGTTTGTTTCTACCTGCCCAACAAGTGACATTGGTGATGGTCTGCCAGTCGTGCAGCATCCTGCCTCTCCTTTTTGGAATTGTTCCTCCCTTACTAAGGTGAAGTCGCTGCCCACTAAGGTTTCTATCTGTTCCTTCCATGTGTTGTTGTCAATTTGATCCAACATTGCTCTTAAACCAGCATCGTGCTCAAGGCAGATGTTTCTCACTAGTTAAGCTAAATTGTGCCTTGACTTTAAGAAAGACTTCAGGACATGTCTTGGTTTAAGGTTTAAAGATTATCTCAGGGCAAGAGTTTCACAGGTTCATCCAGCCTCCATGGCTCTAGTAAATCTGGAGTCATTTGGAATTCTGTTCCACATTTTTGCCCCTCTGATCAGTGTCCTCCTTTGGAATCCTTGATCAAAATGTTCGGTGATGGTAGCCGGGCACCCTTCATTTCTTCTGGTCTCATGACAGAGGAGCAGTTGTTCATGGAGGCACTTACCCGTATAGTTCATACCCTCCTCTCATTACTGATTCTCCTTCTTCCTCTGAGACTCCAGGCCAACAGAAACCATGTATTGTGCTCTGGATGGTCACTTGCAAACTTTTAAGATCCCAGGCACTGTGTCATGAACTAGGAGGTAGAACAGAGGCGCTAAACATGTTAGTAAGCCAAGTAACTGGAATGTCCCGTGAAATCATGACTGTAAACTTCAAAACCCAGAACAAAATCCCATGAGGTTTTTGGCTGTTCATAATTAACCTCAGCAGCCTTTGGGGTTGGGGGTTCCAAATATGCCTATATCTATCACCCAACTTTCATCAATTCAACTTTTTACAGATGTAAACTTTTTGGCAGCGATTACATTAATCAACCCTGCCCTTAATCAATATATTTCCATCATCGATTACCCCCTTTAACTCTCCCTCCCATGGTAACCATCTCAGAAACTAGACATTTGTCTTTTCTTGGCTCTTTCTGTATGTGAGGTCATGCCATAGTCGCCTTTCGTGATGGGCTGAGGTCGCCCAGCATGCCATCGTTAAGCCCATCCATGGCGCCAGACTTCATTTCTCCTGCTGGCTGAGTGGCATTCTGCTGCGTGTGTCACATCTGACAAATCCACTTCTCGGTGGATGGGCTTTTAGATCTTTCCCTCCTTGTGGCTGCTGGGCTCACGGGGTTGTCAACAATTGGTTGTTCTGATAGATCACCAGTCCTTTCTTCTGAGGCACCTCTGGGTGGTTTCGAACCACCAGCTTTTCCGTTAGCTGCTGGAACTGCTAGCGTTGGGGCCAGGCTGGAGCTCTGTGCGTTAGCGAGGCCTCTTGAAAGGCGGTGACGGAAGGATGAACACCTCTATTTTCCAAGCGTGGACGTGGAGGCTTGCACAGGTGGGACCATGCATGAAATCTGAGCTGAATTCTGGCCCACTTCGCACCTGTCTCGTCTCCATTAGACCAACGATGCCGACGACTAATAAGACGCATATCATTAGTGACTG